ACACAGTAATCATGCAGAGGAAGTTGGTGAAGGAAGAGGAGCTGACAGGTACAAGCAGACTCGTCTACTTGGTTGACGAAACAGCGAGGATGCTGCCCGAAGCATGGATTGAGATTGACAACCCCTACTTTACTGGTAATCTGACAGCACTATGTCTGCAAGATCCACTGTATGACCTCATTCTGGGCAATATCGATGGCGTAAGACCTCCTAATGATCCCAGAAAGGAGACGGAAAAACCTGTCTCGACAAAGGAGTTAAGGGAAGAGCCTGTAGCAGCAGCTATCACCTGTTCCCAAGCACATGCACAGCCGGAAAAATTTGCCAAGCTTCGTACGCCTGGGACCACAGCGGGATTGCCGGGAGATAACTATGGCTGCGAGCAGAGGGGAGATGCAACACTCAAACAGTGTTTTTAGAAGATCGGAAGGAAGCAAACATGCTGAAAATTGTCAGCGCACCGCACCAAAGGGCCGTGTATCACATGTCCCACTGGGGAGGGCACCCATAATCAACAGCCCCATTCAAGCGAGTGGTGATCGATATAGTGGGACCGATTCACCCGCCCTCAAAGCATGGAAACCGATACATTTTGACTTGATGGATTATGCCACCCGGTATTCAGACGCAGTGGCGCTCCCGAGTATCGAAACTGAGCGAGTGGCCGAAGCCCTGGTCGAGATGATTTGGCGTCCCCCGCGAGGTACTGAGTGACCGTGGCACGAACTTCACATTGGACCTGATGAAGGAAGTAGCGCGGCTCCTTTCCGTGCGCCAGCTCCACACCACCCCATGGCGAATGGCTTGGTGGAAAAATTCAGCGGCACCTTAAAATTAATGTTGAAGCGCATGTGTGCCGAAAAACCGAGAGATTGGGACCGCTACCTGGCAGCTCTCCTCTTTGCCTATAGGGAGGTTCTGCTGGCCAGTATGGGGTTTTTCACCCTTCGAGCTTCTCTATGGCCGCCATGTGAGGGGACCCTTGGCGATACTGAAGGAGCTGTGGACGAACGCCGACTTGACTGAAGAAGCTAAGACGACGTACCAGCATGTCTTCGACCTTCAGAACTGTTTGGAGGAAACGTGCCGCTTAGCACACGAGAAGTTGGAAAAAGCCGGAGCACGGTACACGAAGCTGTACAATCGAAAGGCAAAGGAGCGGAGTTTCAACCCCGGAGACAAGGTACTGATTTTACTACCCATCGACACGAACAAGCTGCTGCTGCAATGGAAGGGCCCTTTTGAAGTCCGGGAAAAGAAAGGTGAAGCTGACTACGTCGTAGACACGGCTGGCGGCAGAAAAATCTTCCACGCCAACTTACTGAAAAGATATGAGGAGAGGGACAGCCCCTCCACTAAGGTGTGCAACGTGACATTTGGTGTTGTGGAATCGAGCGAGGGCGAGAATATTCCAACCCCTGACTGGCTGAAAGTGGAAGGGGAAGAAGACTTGAAGCTCTCCGGACAAACTGGACGCTCAGCAGATCGGACAGCTGCAAAGAATTGTCAGGGAACACGCTCGTATTTTCTCGGATGTCCCGGGCAAAACTGACTGGGTCCACTGCAACCTCGAACTCACCACGAGTAACCCCGTACATGTGAAACAATACCCTCTTCCATTTGCAAGGTGGGAAGGTGTAGAGAAAGAGGTGCGGGAGATGGAGAAGCTCGACATATTTGAGAAATCAGAGTCACATTATAATTCGCCAGTCATTTTGGTAAAGAAACCCGATGGTACAAATTGATTGTGTATCGATTTTCGACGCCTGAACAACGTTCTGGTGGCCGACTCCGAACCTATGACAAGAACTGACGCGGTGTTTGCTACAGTGGGAAAGAAGAAGTATTTCTCGAAGCTCGACTTCGTGAATGGCTATTGGCAGATCCCGCTGACCGAAGAGTCGAAAGCGAAGACGGCCTTCTCGACGACATTGGGACTATATCAGTTCCGCTTCATGCCATTCGGCATCAAGACAGCGCCTGCTGTATTTGCTAAGTTGATGCGGAAGGTTGCAGAAGGTATACCCGGTGTGGACCATTACTACGATAATGTACTGGTAGCCACTGAGATATGGAAAGAGCACCTGAGGTCTCTCGGACTGCTTTTTGAGCGCATACAGAGGGCCGGGCTTACAGTGCGCCCCAGTAAATGCGAACTTGGTGTGGAAGAAATCGACTTCTTGGGACACCGAGTTGGCAGGGGCAGATTGCAACCACTGGGGAAAACACTCAACAAGATCGAAGCTGCACCACGTCCTTCAACCAAGCGACAAGTGCGCGCCTTCCTCGGTTTGACCAAGTACTATCGGGAATTTATCCCGAATTACGCAGAAGTCAGCACTCCCCTTACAGATTTAACCCGGAAGGGCGAAGCTAACTCGGTGAAATGGACAGCAGCCCACGAGGAGGCTTTTCGAAGTCTCAAACAACATGTCTCTACGGAGCCGATACTATGGCTACCAAATTTGCACCAACCATTCATACTTCGAACGGACACATCGGACAAAAGTCTCGGAGCCGTGCTCATGCAGGCCCACGAAGGCAAGCTCCACCCCACAGCTTATGCCAGCCAAAAGCTGCTTCCACGGGAGGCTTCCTATAGTATCATCGAACGCGAATGTCTCGCGCTGGTATGGGGAATTCAGAAATTCTCCATGTACTTATATGGAGTACATATTTGTGTCCAGACAGACCACCAGCCTCTGAGTTATATCCAACAGGCAAAACAGCTAAACGCTCGAGTACTTCGATGGAGTTTACTACTCCAAGAGTACCAGTTCACCATTACGCATATTAAGGGTAGCGAAAACGTTAGAGGCGATTACTTGAGCCGTATATAGTTCTTGAGGTCTGGGGAGCATGTTATTTTTTTTATTCCTTTTGTCTTTTGTTTTCTGTTGTATGTGCGTATTTCATTGTATAAGAAGTGTATTGTGAGTTATTTTCTTTTTGCTTGGTGCATTGGTTGTTTTTACATGTTGTAATGCACATTGAAGGATTTCACTACAGTACAGGAGCACACCTGTTCCGTTTTGTTTCGTAGTATACATTCGTGCAGTGTATTCTGTATTGATGGCTGCCGTACACGGCCTATTTCTTTTTCTTGTTTGTATGGCGCATTGATATTGTTGCGTGTAACTGAAGCTGGTACTCTAACAATTGTTTTTTCCCTTTTGTTGTTAGTTTGATGCACTCTGCCTATTTATGTTGTGTATGAGAAGGACAGTCCTCATGTCTCCCTTGTTGGTGGTGTTTTGTTCCTTGTCAAAAAATTCCCCTCTGTGTGAGCAAATGTTATGAATAACATTCTGAAAGTGGGGGGCAACGTCACGGATTGCCATTTTTGCGACCTGGCATCACGGCAATTAACGGGGGTCGTACTACCCTGCTGACCGGCGGGAACTGCGGGCGCATGAAGGAGAGCCGGGAAGTGCAGAATGGGGTATTCTTCTTCGAACGTCGCCGCCGACGTTTGATCCTTTGTACCTACGGCGGCGTCTGCAGGGTCGTGGAAGGCCGCAATGTACCCCGAACAAAGTTTAGACTACGGGATGCACCGGCTGAGAGCCAAACAGTCTGACCGTTCCCACGGGAAAACTTCTGGTGGCCAAGCTGTATGACAGCACCCCAACAGGTTGTCACTCTCGCTAGTTGAGGGCCCTCTCCTAATTAAAAAGGGGTGGGGTCAATATATTTTTTGGGGTGGAGTTTTCAACAATGAAACGCGCATGATTGGACCCATGTAGAGGTCTCTTGTCCCCAAGGAAGAGAGCGAGGGGACACGAGGGGGATTTAAGCGCAGGATTTTGCCCTGCTAGGCAGGCTAGTCGCTGACCAACATGGTTTAGAAACAGATCAACAAGTATCTCATCTAGAAGTTTTTAGTGTGGCTCTGTATCGGCTGGCCACCTAAACTTAGCCGTTCGTCTAGTTGTGACGCGACATTAACGTCTGCAACGTAGACATCGGGACTTTGCCTCGAGTTAGCTCAACGTGCCCGAGGTCACCTGCAAGCACTAGCCTCCCGGAGCCACCAGCGTTGCAACACCGCCAACATCGCAGTCGAGCCAGAACTCTCTTCGACTTCTCGCATCCGATCGTCGGGGACGCAACGCTGCCGGTCATCACACGTATGCCTCCACCTGTTTATATCTTCGAACTTTTTCTCCGTAGTTCTATCGTTGTTAGTTTGTGTAGTTCGTAATAGTTCTCTCTGGTAAGCTGATTTATTGTTTTTTTATATGTATTTTTTTAGTTGTATCAAGTGTTGATGTATTTTGTTAGTTGTATTGAAGTGTTGTACTAGATCCCATGTGCTGCAATATCGCTAGAGTAAAGTTTGTTCTGTTTTCTCACGTCTCTGATCTCTTCACTGTCTCTGCTTGCGTACGGAACGAACTAACCTGCTGTCATTTCCGTCGCCGACTTTGCGCTGGCGACGTTAGAGTGGCAGCTTGTTACAGCAATACAAAGGGTTGTTTAGTTTACCAGAAAAAGTGAGTATTCTCTGTGAACCATTGGATAATGAATATTCATGTGTAGTATATATTCTGTGTTAATTATGCACATATGCTATGTATCTCATGTTTGTTACCAGTTGCAATGGACATCTTTTTTTTATTTTTGCTGTACTATATTGAGCGCACCCCAAATTTTGAAAAAAGTTGAATGCGAACAGGGGCCTTATCCGGCTGTTCAGCCTTTAGTCTCTATCTCTGTTGAAATGCTTTGAAATAAAATTATTCTGATTTTATTTGATTTCATTCTACGCCATGGCTCCCAGCTTTCAAAGTGAGCTCTCATTCATGAGTTTGCAGAAAAGAACAAGACCATATTTTTTGATGGTTGGTAATGCTATGGAGCCTGTGATGAGCGAAATTACAGATGGGTCTGCAGATGGGTGAAAATGAAAAAAAAAAAAAAGAGGGGGGAGGGGTGTCACTAAAAAAAGAATGTTTTTTTTTTTATATCAGAAGGTCATACTCGTTTTGTTGTTACAGGAGTGACAATAGGGATTATGCACTGAAGCAAATTGAAGGCACGGGTATTTCCATGTCAGCCTGCAGAGAGATTGCGGTAAGTTCTGTCATTGTTCTTTCAAGCTCACAATATTCTTTTTATATGCAGTGCTACTTATAGGTGTTGTATGCAACATTGCTTTGTATGCAGTGTTGTTTTCGTATGCAACTAGAACAAAAATATGACGACACACTGGGAAGACACAAAGGGAAGCAATAGATGTATCAGTTGAAGTACCGAGGAAAGGAAAGAAGCAAGCTCACCTAAAGTGTAAAAGAGTGGATCAAAAAACGACAAAGAGAATGTGCGAAGTGTCCCTGGAGTGGCCGTATCTCCTAAACCCATGTTTCGTAGAGTTGAACTAGGTCGAATCCAAAAGAGTTCGCTGCCAGCCTCCCTTCACATGACAGTTAGTTGGCATTCACCCTTGCAGTAAAACTATCACTTCTTGGTTTCTAAGTGAAGTGGAAGAAAATTTCAATAATAACAATGTGAAAGTTATAACTGGTGCAATGAATTGCATTGTAAAAGTTACTATAGTTAGTGCATAGAAGCCCATATGACATGCTTTTAAACTTGAAAAATAATTCATTGAGGTAAAGGTAGTGTGAACATTTAACCTTGATGTGTGGCTACACGGCAAAGTGGATTTGTACGGAATGGATCGTTTCACGGCATAGCACCACCAGTCTGCAGCGAAGTCACTTTTACAGACAAATTTACTTTTTCTTTCTTCATTTATTTATTTATTTATTTATTGATACCCCAAATGCCCTGTGAAAGGCATTACATGAGGAATGCGCATAACTATACTCTGTTTCGTGAGCTTCATGCAGCAGAGCCAAGGGTACGTGGTCTTCGAGCGCAGATTGTTGCGAAGTGAAATGTAGTGCCAATTATCATAACTTGTTGCCCGTCCTCATTACCTTTACAAGCAGTCTCATCAGAATAATTTTACTTGAAGTCTTCTCTGCATCTTCTAAGTGGTATCAGCCTGGTGATCTTGCCCTATTTTTTATAGAAACCAATTTTTGTGGCTCTTTGGGTAGGAAAAAAGAGTTTTTGCTTTTTCGTGTCATAACATGGAGGAAGAAATAATGGAACTGTGCCTTGTATATATTAAGTTTTCATCTCTATAGTACAAAGTATTGGTAAGACATTGCCTAAAGTTTTAGACGTAGTCGGCACAGCCGCAGATTCCACAGCACCGCGGAAGGAACCGGCATTGAGTTTAAAAAACGTGGCTGCACTGCCGAAAGCAGTTGTAAGCTCTGAATAGATGCTTTCATTCACTTGAGGTTCATGACCTCAAGCTATGACAACACAGTATTCGGATCGATTCAGCACCATTTTTGAGACCCAAGCTCAAACAATCGATGTTATAGGCTTAGCTAATGCCGTTGGGTGCTTTGCGAATCTCTGAAGACATACAATGCGCGTTGGTAAGTTTTTCCTAATGATCGATAGGTGGCGCCATTTGTCCAGGTGGCAGCTTAGACTTTCTCTTTATCGTGGGGCAGGACTCAAGTTTTGTAATTATCGAGTGAGACAAGTCATAGTGACAATCGGTGTCAGAAAGACATGGTTAAAAAGACTGTAAAGTGTTCAGGATGCGGGGTAATTTTGAAAGTGGACCCAAGTGTAGAAGCGGATGGAGGAGAGGCTGACGCGAAGTGTATGCAATGTGAGGTCGAGGAAAATATGGAGAAAATGATGGTTGCCCAAAGTGAACTGTTGATGGACTGCGTTAGCGCCAGAGCAAGAGAAAACGAGGGCGATGGGAGACAGGCTGAAGTCCGCCGAGGAAGCACTAGCCAAGGTGAACAGAGGAGCGGCCTACGGAGAGAACAGTAGGGAACCGGCAACCAGAACGGCGGAGGTGAAAGAGCAAGCAAGTTTGGAAAAAACAGGTTCAGCCGGATCAATTGTCGCAAGGCCCAGCTTCAGCAAAGTAGTGGTGGGGCTGGGAGGGGACCAAGCAGCCGGCATCACAGGTGCAAGTAACCCCTAGGTGTAGGACACTCCAGCTGGATAATTTCAGGCGGTTTAAACAATGTCTTAAATGAAGATACAGCAGCACTAGCAACTACACTGGCGAAAGGCGTCGATGACATGCGCGCCACTTCTCCTGAGGTACAGGTAGCGATATGCACAATACCGGAGGTACCGGTGCGTGATAGCAACCTGCAAAGAGCGGTTGTCAACGCAAACCACGAGATATGGCGGATGAGTCGAGAGAAAGGCTTTGAGGTGGTGAAAATAAACAGAGAGGTGCATAGTTGGGGTGATTTTCAACGAGACAGAATCCACTTCGATGGGCGGCTAGATCATGAGGTGGGTTGGCGACTTGCAGGATGCGCAGTAGCTTTTTTGGGTAGCAAGCGGGCCCTTCGGGGTGCAGGATAGCTAGTAACGAGGAAAACTACCAGCGATACTATTTGACAGGTGGTATGGACAGATACGATTCCAAAGTGGCACCAGTATCTAAGATAGGTAGAGTCCGGGGCAGAAATAAACGTAGCCACGAGCGCCGAGCCATTTCAGACATAGTGTATATTAACATGCATGGTGGTAGGAACAGGCTGAAGTGGGAAGAGATAGAAGAACAGCTAAGGGAGGAAAGGCCGATGGTATACGGTTTTGTAGAAACACATCTTAGGGACATGGAACAACCTCCTAAAAATCTGGACTACGTTTGGGAATATTGTAATAGAACAGAAGGCAGCAGAAAGGGGGGTGGTATTGGAGCATTCATTCATAAAAGTACAGGCTGGCAAAGGGTCAAGCAGGAGTGCAAGGAGCATTTATGGCTGAAAGGGAAAGTTGCAGGGCAAATGACACTCCTTGGTTTGGTGTACTTGTGGACAGGAGCAAAGGCCAGAGAGGAAAACCAGGCAATGGTAGAGTGTATATTAAAGGACATTGAGGAGTTAGAGGGGAGAGTGCGAGATATTCATACTAGGAGATGTGAATGCGCACATAGAAGATATAGATGGGTATACCGACCCGACAGGCAAAATGATAATGGATATGTTTGAAAGGCATGATTTGATCATTTGCAACAGTACCGAGAAGTGTGAAGGGCAAATAACATGGGAGGTAGGAAGGCTGCAGTCGACGATAGATTACGCACTAATGTCACGTAGGATGTATGATAAGCTCAGGGGAATGCACACAGATGAAGGTGGCTCCAGAAGTCTGGGTAGTGATCACAAACGTATCAAGCTAAGTTTTGGAAGAGCAGTGAAAGTGGGAAGGAGACAAGATGAGCAACTACAGGAAAATTTTTATTCAGAAAGGCAAATTGAAATAGCCACTAAACAAATTGAGAAAGTAATCACTGAGGATAATAAAACAGTGTGGACATACACGAATCTAATTAGACTGTTTGAGCTAGAGCTTGCTAAGGCACGTGACAAGTCACTCCGGAAAAGAAGACACAAACCCAAAAGTTGGTGGGATGAGGAAGTTAAGAGAGCCATAGCAAAACGTCAGGAAGCCTTTAGGGAACACAGACATGCTAAGCAGCGGGGTGAACCGACAGATGATGTTGAAAGAAAATGGGAAACCTTTCTAAGCTGTAGAAGGGATGCATCCCTTCTGATCAATGAAAAGATTATAAGTAAGGGAGCTCAGTGGCTGGAAGAAGTACATAAAAAGATAGAAAAGCAGCTGCAAAATTTTGGAACCATCTGAACTCCCTAAGAAATGAGACGAGCCTAGGGCAGAGGCGTATAACTACAGCTCAAGGTGCTAGGCTAGAAGGGGACGAAGCCATTGAAAATATAAGAACAAGGGTGACAGAAAAATTTCAACAAAGAAGCGCTTTATACACCACGATAGACAAGGATGAATCGAGTGGCGCAGTGGCTCCATTTTCACAACGAGTGTGGGAAAGGGCTGAGAAAAGGGTTCCAAGTAGTACATCAACAGGCCCAGATGGCATTCCAATTATGCTGATAAAGACATTGGGTCCGAAGTCTAAGCAGACTCTGAGAGAGGCATTGAGCAAAATAATAATCGGTGGTGAAGGCCCCGATGGATGCAAACTTAGCAGGATGAGCATGATCTATAAAGGAAAGGGGGACAAAGCTGACATAAATAACTACTAGTCCCTATAACAGTGACATCAGTAGGTCTACAGGCTGGCGATGCAGATTATAAGGAAAGACCTGCAGGCATGGATACAGGATGAGGAAGGGCTGGAGGAACTGCAGAATGGGTTTTGGGAACACAGGAGGTTGGAAGACAATCTGTTCTCACTGTCGCAGTGCATTGAAATAGGAGAAAAAGAACACAGGCCCCTGTGGCTAGCATTTTTGGATGTAAAGGGAATATACGATAGCGTGGTTAAAGAGGAATTGTAGGGAATCCTGGACGCACTAGGCATGGAAGGTGGAGTCACTAATCTTTTAAAGGATATCTATAAAGGTAACAAGGTAGTTATAAAGTGGGAAAAACAGGTATCCAAGCCTGCAGAGGTGAAACGGGGGCTTAGGCTGGGGTGTGCTCTGTCACCCTCATTATTCATGATGTACCTACAAGGATTAGAGGCCAAACTAGAGGGAAGTGGACTGGGCTTCAACCTCTCTTTTGTCAAACAAGGAAAACTCATTGAACAGGCACTACCAGCATTGATGTACGCAGATGATATAGTGCTAATGGCCGACAACAAGAAAGATTTGCAGAGATTGGTGGACATCTGCGGCAATGAGGGAGATAGGTTAGATTTCAGATTCAGTAAGGAAAAATCAGCAGTCATGATTTTTAATGACAATGAAGGTAGTGAGCTTAGAATACAGGAGGTCACGCTAGAGATAACAGATAAATACAAATATCTCTGCGTATGGATAAGCAATGGGGCCAAGTACCTAAGGGAACACGAGATATACGTGAGGACTAAAGGTAACAGGAATGCAGCGGTAATGAAAAACAGGGCACTTTGGAATTACAATAGGTATGATGTTGTGAGAGGAATATGGAAAGTGGTCATGGTTCCTGGTCTGACGTGCGGCAATGCGGTCTTGTGCATGAGATCAGAAGTTCAAGCAAGATTA